TAGGCAAAGGGAAATGAAGCGGCGATTTAAATAATCGCCGCTTCATTTAAATTTACATGGCTGCCGCGCCGAGCCGACAAACAGCCGATCAGCTGTTTGTCGGCTCAGCGCGGCAGCCATGTAAATGTAAATGAAGCCGCGATCATTTAAATCGCGGCTTCATTTACCTTTGCTGAATAAACAAATCTACATGCCTCTTCCGACAGAGGCATGTAGTGTAGACGTACCCTAAATCTTATAATCTGGAGAACTGATATTGGTCACAGTATTTGTGGGGAAGCTGCTATCGAATTAAACTTAATCCTCTTTTTTTTTTCCTGTTCATGAATTGTCCACCAAAGATCTTACTCAAAAGTTTTTCAGGCTATGGATTATTTGAAAGGCTTTCATATTTCTGTGTTTGGTCCCACAATACTATAATTGGTTTCTCTTCCCCATGTCAAGTTTGCAGGTGGGTGTAGTTTTGAGGAAAGCTGGAGGAATTGAAAGTGTTCAATGGGGATTTGGTGTAGAATGGTCTGCTTCAAGGGGACACTTCAGATAGATTAGAGAATTGTGAATTTTTAAATAGTGTCATCTTCTTCCTTCATGGGGCAATTCCTGGTGCGTCAGTATTGTTTGTACTTCCTGACCAGTGATTGAAACTTTTAAGGTAGGGGAATAATCTTATTCCCAGGTTAATATGTATATTCTTGTTTTCTAAATATGTAAACTGAAACCTGTATTTGTGAAAGTATGTGACATACAAAATTAAACTGGTACAAACATGGCCAAACCTAACAAGCATTCAGAATACAAACCTTCACACTCAGTTTTTGTATTGTTCAAATAGCTCTACTGACAGTTTATATATTTCATGCTAAATTAAAATAATGGAAAGGAGAGCCCTCTGTTCCCTTTCTTCTAATCCATAGACAGAGAAGTTTTCCCTCCTCTTTTAGGTGTAGAGGAACAATGTTTCAAGATAACTTCCTTATTGGCTAGTACAGCGAGAGTTTCCTGCTATAATCTACTTTATTGTCTGTGTATGAACATTTACTTTGTGATATAAATGGTTACATTACAGATTATGAAAATGTGGGATTTTCCCTTTATTTGGTTTTAAATCTGCTGACTAGAAGTTGACCGCTATATGCTGGAGCTGAACGAGGATTTCATTATCTGATCTACCAGAATATTTGCAATTTCCTCCATAGTCAACACTAGACTTCTAATGTATCTTTTGGTAATTCAGCATGTCTCTGTTTATAGTAGAACTCAGTGCCTATGTCCAGTTACTACATTATGCCTGACTGAAATACAGTGTAATGTTAGTATTTAGAAAACACTTCATAATCCGATATTGTATCATTTTAGGGTCTTTCTGCAAGATGGAAAGTGCATTGCTTTTGTGTATAGTCATGTCCCATTGGCATTTCCTAAATGGTAAGAAGCTGAAATATTTTCTTAGGGTTTTTTTTTTCAGTGTAAAGGCATGGCAACTATAACTTATAGTTAAAAAACATTGTTCTTTATCAGTTAAATGTTAACCCAAAGATGTGTGCTTGAAAAGAGCTGCAGTGATGTAGCTGGTGGGGTAAATGTTTCCATGTATCCACAAAACAGCATGGGAACGAGTGTGTTAAGAGCTGATGTAAAGACATGCACAAAGGAAGACATTGCAGTGCACAGGTTTTATTGGTGCACAAAATCCAAGAATTAGGCCATATATTCTTCAGTGTCATCTGCTGGCACTTTATCTAGTAACTATACATAAAGAGCAATCACTTAGGCATTTAATTGGTTATATGCATGAATCAATGCCTAGCTTGCACACAGACACCATGGATGTTTATGTTCATACGTTAGGCACACACAAATGTATGTACTTGGTTGGTAAAATATAACTTTGAAAATCATGTTCCTATTTGGAAAATAAGTTTTATTCTGAATTCTGTTTCCCAGCTTTATTCACAGTTGAAGTTCCACAGCCACTGTACACTGTAGAATATGGGAGCAACGTGACGATGGAATGCAGGTTTCGAGTGAATGGTCAATTGAAGCTTCAAGATTTAAGCATCATTTGGGTGAAAAAAGAGGAACATACAAAAGAGGTTTACAAACTTCACAAAGGAAAGGAAAACTTTCAAACCCAGCACAGCAACTTCAGAGGAAGAGTAAAATTGTTGAAAGATAAACTGGAATTGGGACAGTCAGTGCTTCAGGTCACCAATATAAAACTTACAGATGCAGGAACTTACCGCTGTCTCATTGGCTATGAGGGAGCTGATTACAAGACGATCACTTTGCAAGTAAAAGGTAAGCATTTTTTCCAGATAGTGGAAATTGGTTTATTACTGCATGATCCTGTTACAAGTCTCCCCTCACTCACTTCACTGAGTTGGCAGTGATGTCAGAGGCTGACATTTGGCTTAGTTTGTAACTAGAATTCACAATGTAAAAACAGAGAGCAGGCTGTGGCACCTTAGAGACTAACACATAAAGGCTGTGTCTACATTGACATCCCTTTCCGGAAAAGGGATGCTAATGAGACACTTCGGAATTGCAAATCCGCGGGGGATATTTAAATATCCCCTGCGGCATTTGCATTTACATGGCTGCCGCTTTTTTCCTGCTTGGGGTTTTTGCCGGAGAAAAGCGCCAGTGTAGACGCGATTCTCCGGAAAATAAGCCTTTTTCCGGGAGATCCCTTATTCCTACTATCTAGTTCGTGCCGCGTGTAGCCGTGGGCACGGAGTCCGCACTAGAGGACATTTAAAAATGGCGGCGCCCGGCAACATGCAAATGAAGCCCGGGAAATTCAAATCCCGGGCTTCATATGCAAGTTCATATGACTACATTAACCATCCTAGTTCAAACTAGGGTGGCAGTGTAGACATACCCTTATTCAGTCTTTCACAATGCGTGTAAGATCTAGCTCAAGCCTCTGCATTACAGCATTTTCCACTCAATTTGAGAGAGCAAATATTGCCCTCTTTTTTCCTCTTGCTTAGATTTGGAGGTGAATGAGGGAGTTAGAGATGAGGCAGAGCACTTCTTATGCAAAAGTGCTCAGGCATCCTTGAGCATCTCCTAGCTCTTGGTTTCACAGAGGATGATGGTACCCTCTCTTTATGGCCCTTTCTCCCCCATAGATTTGCCTCCTAGGCTACGTCTAGACTGCAAGCCTCTTTTGAAAAAGAGCGTCTAGACTGCAAGCAGTACTTTCAAAAAAGCAAGCCGCTTTTTTGAAAGAGAGCACCCAGGCAGTCTGGATGCTCTCTTTCAAAAAAGCCTTGTTTGCATTCAAGAACGCATTTTTTCAAAAGAGGGCTTTCAAAAAAGGCGTTATTCCTCATGAAATGAGGAGTACCACCGTCGAAAGAAAAGCTGCGTTCTTTCGATTTAATTTCGAAAGAACGCGGCTGTAGTCTAGACGCATGTGAAGTTTTTTAAAAAAAAAGCTACTTTTTTCGAAAAAACCCTGCTGTCTAGACACAGCCCTAGAGAAGAGGAATAATCCTACAAAGGTAGGGAAGAGGAAAGACAAATTAACTGAATGGATTCCCATCCTCTGGCCAGGAACGACACTGAAATCTCTCGCAAAGACAGAGTAGAAAACATGTAGGCTAGATGGATATCACTTTCATGCACAGATTTTTAGGCAAGTAATTCCCTCAAAAGCTGATAGGAGATATGGGATAAATTGTGGGTTCTGGTGCATGTATGACAGAGAATCTGTAGGATTCCTATTGTTCACTTGGGTTTAGCATCCAGTGACTTCCGGTGACTCTTCTGAGGAACTTACACAGCAGCTTAACCCCACGCCTAGTTCTGGTGAAGCCATGACTCTGCCTTTTTACTTTTTACTTCTCTAGTCTGGTACACTCAGGACCTGACCGATGCTGAACCTGAGAATTTGCCAAACCACGGGCAGTCAATATTGTCTAGCAGAACTTTTTGGTCTACCAACACTTCCACTTCTTACTGGTCTCTGAGAAGACATTTATGTGTAAATTAGAGCTAAACATCTGTACAGAACTTGGAAAGCCAGGACTGGTGTCTGTAAACAAATTTTATGGGACTGTGGGAAACTTGGCTACACCCATGATAAGTGGACATCTGGTTAACTAAAATCATGCCGGACTACAGATGTTGCTGGACCAGAGAGGCTACGTCTAGACTGCATTGCTTTTTTGGAATATGAGAAGTATTCCAGAAAAGCAACGCTGCATCCAATGAATGCTTTTTTTTTTTTTTTTTGAAAAAAACAGACATGCTATTTCGCCATCCCTGTAAACCTCATTCTATGAGGAATAAGGGATGGCTCGAAAGAGCACTTTTTTTCTGAAATTTGGCACTATATAGATGTGCCAAATTTGGAAAGAGCCTCTTTCAAAAGTAAATAGAAAAAAGTACACAATTTGCATATTGCAAATTGCGTATCTTTTTCTGATTTAACAGTGCAGTCCAGATGTAGCCAGAGTGCTGGACTAGAGATGTTGAACCTGTACCACACATGACACTGAAAGAAATGAAGAATGTTGGGGAGGCTAGCTGAAGAAAGCACTGAGTGGAAAGGTTGATACAATCTTTTACAAAAGTTGCAAAACTGTAGTGAAAATACAGTAAAACTCCGATGGTCCGGCATCTGACGGTCCGGCACCATCAGGAACCCGGAAGTGCTCCGGGCAGCCGGACCATTGGAGCTGCTCTGCCCCCAGCTTTCCCGATTCAGCCGCTGCTAAAACTGACCAGTGCTGAATCCGGGAAGCAGGGGGCAGAACAGCTAGAGTGCTGCCCCT